AACTACATTAACATAACCCTTCAAATAATTTCATGGCTAGGCAGCAATAACAGAGGCAGAAATATTTACGCCTATGGGTAAGAAAAACATGACCAAAAAAAAAAAATAAAAAATCTAATTTAAATAAACGGCTGACAAAGTCTGCTGATGATGGCCTTTCCAATTGCGTCATACTAAATAAACGGACTAATCACAAGCACTGCAAGTATACTAAAATAATAATAATAATGGCGTCACAGAATACTGTAGCATTTATACGTGTTTTTCAGTTTATTTTATTTGACAAACACATTTTAGCAGCAGGTAAAATCATATATTGGGAACTAATATTTCACAGTATGTAACAACAGGTGCAAACAATGATTCAGAAGTAAAATTATAAAAGTTACACAAATTGTACACAAATCTCAGAGCAGAAGAAACTGCAGTGGACAATAAACGATTGTGCAACAGATTTTAGGGTCATTTTTGCAACGTTTTTGTTTACAATTTAATCAAACCTGTTAATCGATGAGATGTACTGTATGTAAACACATTGTTACCATTAACCTATCACCTCCAATGATTCATTATTCTTTTGTAAACTATGTGGGATCTGTAACAAAATACCTGGCAAAGCTTTTCACTCATTTTAATACTGCTGGTGAAAACTGATTTGATGAAAATGGATTCTAAAATCCCAAAAGGAAAAAACAAAAACAAAACAACAATCCTGCCATTTCACCGTGAGGATCATAAAACTGAACTTTACTCAGATTCTCGGCTGTATCAGGGAAACACTTTACATCCTGTTGCACTGAGGAAAAACGTTCTCCATAATGGCAGCATCTTAAAATGCTCGGTCCTGGAAGGCCAAACTAAGGTAATAAATTCCATTGTACAGCTTAAAAAAGGCATGGGACTAGAAATGACCAGACTAAGATGTGGCTTTATGCCATCTTAGTGGGACGGAGGCATTGGGGATCAGTCATCTAACCTCTACAGTCAATGGCTACTCTGTTAAAACGGCCCCATGGCTGAGCTTTCTCTAATTGATGTTGCAGCAGCTCAAGTAACTGATGGTTTTACCCTCTCCAGGCATCGGGGCAGTGTCACTGTTATCCAGCTTGTTCTGCTTCGCCTCTCGAATGAGCTCGCAGGCCAGGTCGAGAAAAAGTTTCTCAACGTTGTCAGACTCTTTGGCTGACGTCTCCAGGTACAGCATGCTCTGAGCCTCGGCAAAGTCTTCAGCCCTCTGCCTGAGGACCTCTCTCTTCTCTGCCAGATCTATTTTATTACCTAAAATAAACATACAATGTCCATTTGTCAACAACAGGGGAAACAAAACTAAACAAAAACAAACCACAAGTCTGGCTTGTTGCAGTCTGACTAAACAGTAGTGGGTGTTTAATGAGACAGATGAGAATGGGGAGGGATATGTGCATGCGAGCATGTGTGGGATGCATTTGAGAAGACTGTGCGTTCTCAAAATGACAAGAATAAAAATAAATAAATCTTACCAAACAATGCTGATGACAAAGATAAGCATGAGTTATTCAAGTACAAAACAAAGTTCTTACCGACTAATATAGTCACCACTTGGTTGTTGGCATACTGCTCGATCTCCCTCAGCCACTCTGGAAGGCACCTGAAGGAGTCCTCACAGGTAATGTCATACGTAAGAATGAGGGCGTTGGCACTACGGTAATAACTCTGAGTAATGGAGCGAAATCTCTCCTGTCCAGCTGTGTCCCATATTTGTAGCTGGAAAACATAATATTGTCAAGAATATAGGCAACTGTCCAAACTGCTACAAAACATAAATGCAAACAAAAATGTAACATTGGCGCACCTTGACCTTCTCCCCTTTGATTTCCACAGTCTTAATCATGAAATCTACTCCAATAGTAGCCCCTTGTCCAGGTGGGAAAAGGCCCTACAATTACAAGCAGAACTTATAATTTAACACTTCTGTACTGTGTAATTCAATAGCTACAGACTCAGACACACAGACAGCATACGAACCTGAGTAAAGCGCCGGACGAGACATGTCTTCCCAACTCCAGCATTTCCTATCAGAACTATTTTGAACAGGTAGTCATAATCTTCCATGCTCATACTAAACTAGAAAATAAAGACAAGGAGAAAAGAGAGAGGTGAAGCGCTAACGCTATAACTGTAAAATTGCTAACATTTTTCCCCATGTGCTCCAAGCCACAGACATAAAGTCATGAGACACACACACCAAAGATGCTGATGACACTAAAAACTGTTGTGTAACCATCAGGGCTCAGACAACAAGTAAAATTTGAGCTGAATAAGCTTGGGTGAGTAAGCTGTGCCCTTCAGTGTGTGATCTGAATTCATATTGTGCTCATTAGCACAATTATACCCGACACTAATTGCACTGAAAAAAAATGTATCACAGAGAGACATTTCCTTTTCACTAACTATAATCCCATTTCCACAGAAAACATCTGGGCCTACCTATCAAATGACACAACTAAGAAGCTTTATAGCTTTTCTGTAAATACACAAATGTTAAACAGTTAGGGCAGTGGCAGGATCATCTCTCTCTTTAACAAGATTCTGCAAGCAGCTGAGAACTTAGGAGCATACCTGCTGCAGCTTTTTAAAGCAAAATATTTTCCTATTGAGCTATATTTTCGATTTCAGCTGCTCAAGAGTTAGATGCTTTTCATTTCATTAATGTTGTACATATTTTTAGATCTCATGCACAGGCCACATGCAGGCCAGTTAAGCACCCAGACTCTTATAAAGCTATGGTGTTATACGTGTAGAATGTGGCTTGTTATTTTCTTGCTGAAGTAAGAAACATATTCCCTGACCAAAGAAAAAAAGTGTTATGGCAGATACTGGACCAAAGCCTCTAAGTATTATTGAGAATCCCGGGATTTTGGCTGATCCTCGTCCAGTTTAGGCCAAAAGTCACGGGACTTATGACTTCAAAAGATAATTTAAAATTTGATTTGCCTGACCAAAGAACAGCTTTCCACTTTGCCTCAGTAAATGAAAGTTTTCCTGAGCCCATGCATGGAACCATATTACCATCATTCAATGCCAACCTTGCCCCTCCAGATTATCTGAATCTTACTTTTCCACTATGCTGCATTTTAAAGTTATCTGCAACTTTAATTGTTTTTAAGGATTTGCCACTTGAAAGCTTCTCTTAGATGTTTCCTTATACCAGCTGGCCATGGTACTTATTCACTAAAATAGCTGTGAAATGTTACACTGGAAAGCGTAAAATGTGTCTTTCTCAATTAAATATAAGCTTAGTTTGTCCAGTCTCATTTCAATGGAATAGTTTAGATCACTGTAGGAAAACTGGCATTTTTGGTAAGCATATGACACATGTGTTTCAGACAGTGCACTTAAGAAAATAGCAAACATTTCTGTTTCACTCCTCCACAAGATCTCATTTTAGATATTTGATATCTTTTATTTTCTTTTTAGCTCCCGTTTTTTGGGGCCGTGCATCACTTGCATGGAGACACGGAGATTCAAACAACAACCTGCACAAGGCACAAAACGCAAAGATGCAAGAGTTACTTTGGTCGATGCCTACACAACAGGGCGTGATCTGAAATGTATGTAAACAATGATAATATAGCACAAGTTTAAATTCTGCAGTGCGTTTCTATGTGTGCCCCTACGCTAGAATGGAGAACCGGGCCTTTACGTGCGGAGAAACCGAACATATCGCTGTAAAAACAACATTTTAAGGAAACAAACTGTTGCTTGCAGGAAGATGTGAATCTCTGGTTGACAATGCTGGTACAGAGAAGAAGATTTTGAAGGAATAATTTAACCCTTTCTTGTAGTGATTTGAAACACTTCTTTCCGTGTCGCAATCACATCTTCACCAACATCTTATGTCCTGAAAGGCAAGGAAAAAACTGCAGCATCTCGCACATTTCGTAATCTGAAGTAGCTTTACACTTCTGGCTAATTATCCTTCATTTTTAATCTGAGTTGAAAGCCATTCGGTCGAAGCTAGCAACAGTAGCAACTAGCGGCTATAGCGTGTGATTCTGGCCATTTTATCTGCAGATGCAGCAAGGAAAAAAAAAATCAAAGTCTGCCCTCCGCACCGAGTCAAGAGATAATTCATACTTACCAAAAACACGGGGATATCCCCGGACTTAGAACTACTTGGCATGCATAGGTCACCTCTTCAAATGGGCAAAGCCGCTGCTGGGCAGGGCTGTGTATCCTCAGGAGCTCAGCAGCAGCAGCCCGTCTGATAGAGAGACGATGAAGGAGGGGGGGGGCTGCCCTCAATGATGTCATCAGTTCACATGCAAAGTAACGCGTTACATGTACTCACTGCATTCAGAAAAGTACTTGATGGAGTGTGTCTTTTCCCAGTGAAGCTTCAAACATTCAAACGGATGCAGACATCCGTGGGCTGGAAAGGAAAGCATTTGTCTATTTTTCCACTGGTTGTTCTGGGTGGATGCAGCAGAATTCATGGGAAAGAAACTCGGAGGGAATTTTAGATATTAATATTTTTGATATCTCTCTCTCTGCAATTTTGTTCCATTCTACAGAGCTTCTAGTATTTATACTACGTGGACACTGCAGTTTTATAGATTATAATTCTAACAGGGAAACTCACACAGAGCAATGATAAACAAAAGAGATGTGAAAGTACAAAGCTACAGAGTTTTGCCGTTTTTACAACATTAGTATATTAATAGCACGTGTCCTCCTCGGTTATTACCTTAAGCTGAATACGGACTATGTTGTTTTTTTTATTATTGTTTAATTTTTTCTCTTTTGTTTTTCTGATTCCATTAATCTATTTTCCCATTAAGATGTATTTTATGATATTTCTATATATGATGCTAACGTACACATTAATGTAGTAAATATTCTGAAGCGGACTGAACTGTAATATTAACTATGTGGCACATTTTATTTACAAAGACTTTGGCCTACTGTGACTCATGGGCTTTTGTTGCTAGGAAACAAATAATGCGGAACTCAAGCGCTAGTCGTTGGTTGCGCCCGGACCAGTAGTTCGGTTGCACGCTGTGCCCTTGACTTCCTACGAGAGGTGATAGCCGATGAATAGTAGTAGTAGGCATCTCGGAAATTATTAAATAAGGTCTGAACTAAAGGGCACATTTCTCGCCATGGGCTTTATTCCAGAAGAGGGGAAGTCTCTGCCTCCTCCGGGGCTCGTGAACAGGAATTCGCTGTGGCTGGCGGGTGTAGGCTGGGTCTCCGCCGTGCTGCACAACGCAATCAACCACAGGCCGCCAGTGAAATCAGGTTAGCATTTTACTTGTCTTTCAGACTGGTGCACGAACGGACGCTTTCCTTTCAAGCATATGAAACACTTAATTTTAAAAAAGAAATCCGAGTATTTAGTAAATAAATGTTCTCTCAGATTAGTAACTGGTTGTGAGCTGTCCACAGTGGTCGCAGCGTATTTACGTTTCCTTTAGCATTAAAATAGCGATAAATATCAAAAACAGTTAAGAAATTTGGACACCATAAAAACAAGATCTTTCATTATCCAGCACATGACACAGAGGATGATTAAAATAAAGTTTTAAATTGAACAAAAATACATGCATAATTTCCTTGGGGATTAATAAAGTATTCTGATTCTGAAATCTAACTAAACAAAATAAACAAAACTGAAAACTAAATGTTCGTTTGTTAATTTTTTTTTAAAGAAGTCTAGCGTTAAATTTTGTCGTTATTGTTTCTCCCTATCTGAAAAAGAAAGTAGTATTGACATTGGTTGTGCCACATTGGGTTTTGTTTTGTGTTTCCTGTCGTCTTTGTTTTGGTAATATCTAGCTATGAAGTGTTGATATAAAATGCGCTGTCAAAAAGCTAGGTGCAGTAAGCTAAAGTGTAAGCCTCCACCTATTAATTCAATTTGCTTTTGTTTGCATTTTTTGCAATCCTATTTTTTTAAGAGAAAACCTTATAATGTGCAAGCTTTTGGTTTCTCATAACCACAGTAAGATTTTATTATTGTGCTTTGAAGGATCTTGCAAATATATCTACTTTAGTTTGCTGTATGCTAGTTCTATCTGATCAATAAATGTTGCATCGTTTTCCATGTTTTCTCTTTAAGGTGTTCATCGACAGTTTCTGCTGGCAACCATTGGCTGGTTCATTGGCTACCATGTTACCAAATATGAAAATTACACTTATGCTAGACTTGATCGAGACATGAATGAGTATATCAAACTCCACCCGGACAAATTTGTACCAAAGGGTAAGTTCATTTTTATGTCTTTGCTCTAACAGAAGACACGAGAGCCCAACACTACCTCTTCTTTATTGTATGAAGCCCTTTTTTTTTTTTTCATTGAAAAAAGAGCTTTTAAACTAACATTCACACACACTTAAGTGGATGCATCAGAAGGCAAGTTTCTCACCCAAGGATACTTTGACATTCAGATCCGAAGAATCAGGGATCAAACCACCAACCTCCCGATTAGTAGTACAGCCACAGCCAATGCAGAATTTGTGCTTTGTGAGTGGGCCACCATTCACCGTTCTTCAGCTGATGTAGCTTTCATGATTTTCTTTCAAATTAAATTATACATAATAATCTATTTTCATACATGTCCTTGTTTTCAAAAAACACCAACACAGAACAGGCTCAGCACCACACAGGTGGGAATTATGTTTATGCGCACACCACATCGGATTATTTTTTGTTTGTTTGTTGTCTTTGGATGATGTTAAATCCTGTGCAGTGTAGTTGTGAAATAGTTTCTTTAGCGTTTAAGTATGTAATATGTACCCTGTTATAAATTCAAATCCCAGATTGCCTGAAAGCAAGAAAAATAATGCTGTACCTTTTAGAATGTGTATCTACATAATTGAAATGTGTTCAAAAATGTTCAAAGCTTGAGAAATCCATAATCTTATTTCTAATATTTCAGTCACCTGTCAGTGGAAAATCAACTTTATATTTGATGGCCACCAAGCTTATCCATACAGTAATGTTACGGGGTGATGCAAATTTATTGCAAATTAAATAAATGTAACAAAAAGTTAAGATTACCTCGCCTGTGAAAATGGCTTCTTTCTGAGTCACATCAGATTTTCAGTAGCATTGATGCTGATAGTTACAGCTCCCATGATCCCACACTACTTTCCGGTGCCATCAAACTAGGTTTGATGTTATTGTTTTGATTGAGAAATTCCACGGGGGAAGAAATTAGACTGTGCAGTGCTGTAGAACATTTACTCCGATTAAATCTTATGAAACGTTGGGTCATGTATGTTTGTAATCAAATTGTTGCTTTTGGTTTCTTTTATCTTACCAGAGCAAAAGACCTTTGCTGAGATTGTTGAGCCTTTCCATCCTGTGCGCTAAGCATCAATCGCTGCGGAGAGAGGAAACATTCACAGTTGCCGCCTGTGTTGAGCAGCCTTTTTGTGAGAGCATTCTGTCATATATTGTTTGAAATATAGATATGTAAATAAAAAGAATAAACTCAACCCACAAACTCAATTTTGTGACTGACTTTATAAGTGAAAACAAAAAGTTGAATTCTTTACAAACGTAGGAAACTCTGATATTCTTTAACAAGTCATCTTTCTTGTGGTGTTTGTTTATATAAAAGGGATTAGAGCAGGGCAATATGACCAAAAATATTTATCACGAAATTTAAAAAGAGATCATTACAAAAGCAAATTAAGAGACACAATTGATTAATTTTGACAATGTATATTTATTCCTTATTCATTAGGTTTGTCTGGGGTCACTGAATGTAAACATTTCAGACATTTGCTATGGTTGGGTGTCTTAGATGACTCTCTTAAAAACAGATGTCCACATATCTTAGGTTTTGTGACTAATTTGCTATCCCAATAATGTCCATGTATTTCTCAGTGAGAGTCTGCGTCTTCTTGGTGAGGTCACTCATCACAGAAAACAGTCCTCTCACGTGGAAGTGGAAGAGGGCTTCAGGATCTGTGTCCAAGAGAGGCTCCAGGGTCTTGTTTAGTGCTATGTTGTTTTTGGCCTTGTGATCGTCCAGGCGAATTAGACCACTCTCCACTGTGGTCCGTATGGCTTTGAGCATCAAGTAGTTGCTGTACAGGTCTTTGCAGGTCTCTTCTGCAGCTTCACAGTCCCACACCTCGTCTGAGGGCATGTCTCTCAGCAGGCTTGGCAGAAGAATGGTCTGCTCCATTTCACTGACGGCTGAGCTGTATCGTCTCAGAGCCAGGAACAGGCTGTTTCTCTTGAATTTGGCGTCGGCAGACTGCATGGTTCCCGCTGGATGTGGTCAGTTGTTTACTTGCTATCGTGGCAAACAAGTGGAAGCAGTGTGCACTGCAGCGCTGTGAGATGCGAGTTTATATGATGAACCAAGGTGGGTTGAACAGTGCAGTTGTGTAACTGCATCATCCGATACATTTAGAAAGAGGCCGAGAGTTATGTGGAGTCAAACCCTTATCTTTATTTGATTTACACCACCCAGTTCAAAATAGTGGGGGCAGTGTGTACTGAAATGAACCTGCTAATGCTCTGTGTGGTTAATGATTAATGTTGAAAGTATAAAGGAATGTCATGCTTTGATTTCCAAGTACAAAATGAGTTTATGAAGGTACAATAGGCCCAAAATAAAGAACCCTGGATTATTCTGGTATGGTTCTGAAGGCTGTTTTAGAGGCTTTAAACCATTACTTTTCTGTTTCTTTCCCAATAGTTTCTGTGAAACACAAAGACTAATACATCTTAAAAACAAAATCTAGCTTTCTGTTGATTTAAAATGAAGGAATGCAAGAAGAAATGGTTCTGGTAGGGCCTGGTTCCCCTTAGAAACTGCATGATTGCTAAATATATTCCACAGATTCTGGGTTTTTCCTGCTCAAGTGGAACTGAAAGCTTTGCAGCCAGTCGGCAGAATTGAGTGTGGTGCCTGAACATGTGTTTTGGTTCTCTCACAAAGATAAATCAATGTTGAAAGCATACTATAACTTTAGGTTATCAGGTGGGATTATAAAAAAAAAAAAAAAAAAAGAATACTCTTTTTAATAAATAATAATCAGGATATTCAAATAATCAGCATTTGGCTTTCTTTTCATTTTATTTTGAAATGTGAGTGATACAACAGCTGGCATTGCTGAATTACACCATCAGTCTCACCACACTAACTTGCACTAGTTCTTCATCTTTTTCTCACAAGGTGGCATCCTTGAGCTGGTTCAGTTGTCAAGCAGTAAAACTGAAACAATACCTCTAAATGCTGCATCTTATTAAATAACAAACTGTGCTTGTTTGTTTCCTCAGTTTTTAGCTTTTCTAATCTATATATCTTATTTTTATCTATTTTCCTAATTCTCTAATTGAAGCTGGTTGACGCAACAACAATGTGGTAAACTTTGCATGTTACTCTTAAAGTTACGTCATTGATTAAAGGAAATTATTGCAGGTTTTGCAAAATGGAATCTGTCATGTCTATGGGTGGATCTTTGGTAAAAACCAAAGAATCCTTTGCTAGTGTGGGGGGTTATTAAAAAATAAACAAATGTACTGATTTTAAGGCAACCTTAATTGGAAGATATTTTAAAACTTCGTATTTTTTGTACATAATCACAAATATTTTAGTGTCCATTAGTGTTTTTAACCAATAATGGACTTTTCTTTCAGATTTTACAAACTCGTCAACACAAAACTACCAACAGTCCCTGCGAGTGTTGTAGACTAGACTGTAAATACCCCAATACTCTGTTTATGCTGTAACTATTCAGAAACTGACCATTTGTTTTAGGAGTCTTTAGAATCATTAGTCAGAAATTAGCTCCTTATAAATTAAATAAAAGTGATTCTTTTAACCTTACTTTGCATACTCTGCTGGGCCCATGATGAGACCCTAAAAGCAGTTTTACTTCTTCTTTTTTTCACCAAGCCTCGCCACAATTGGTAAAGTGTTTTTAAAAAATTAAAAAGTAAACTGTACAATGACTCTGAGGGCACATACAGGTTAACAGAGGTGAGGAAGTTATCTGCTTCATTCTGTTGCTTCATTCTGCATGTTATCTGGTGATATGCAGAGAGATATTTGTGTGCTCCTGTTCTGTCAGTTTGGGTTTTTGCAGTCTGAGGTGGGACTCTGTGCATCGTCAAGTCCGTACAGTCTTTAAAGTCAGGGTGATGTCAGTTCTTCGGCTTGTTGTTTACTGACTCAGTTCAGAGCTTTCCTCCGTTGACCCTTCACAATAATTTCCAAGACATGAGTTAGATCCATCATCTTAGTGAGCATATCCATGATGTCAGGGTGCTCCCTTGCTCCACTGATGAACTCTTCCAGCGTCAGCTCACCTGAGAGAGAGAGAAGTGGCACTCTGTGCATTTAAAGCTGCGATTTTATGGAAATAAATCACAAAGCAGATCATTTCACAACTATCAGAATGTTTACTCATGCTTTGTATTCATTTCACTCTGGTCACGTTGACAAAAGCCTTTTATCACTGGTTTCATTCTTGATACCCTATATACACATCATTTACCTTCTCCGTTGACATCAATCTTCTCATATATAAGATGCACAATCTCTTCTGGAGGGATGTCGTAGCTTCTGGTGATGTCTTGAATGGCCTAAAAGAGAGTCATGTAAACAAGGTGATCATTGTATGGCTTTAGTCAGGAGTTAAGAATCAGCCAAATTGAAAACAGAGGTGAATTAGGAAGCCGTTGGATTTAGGTGCTGTGGCTACTTATGTGCGCTTCCAGAGTTAATCTTCAAGGCACCATTCAGAGAATTCTGAGAAGCTCACTACTTTGGATGCAGAAATCTGATTAGGAAGATTTCAGAGAAGGCATACTCTACCTTAAATATAGTTTCCAGTTCATCCTTGTCAATTTTTCCATTTCCATCCTGATCAAAGAGCTTGAAGTACCACTTTAGCTTCTGATTTATTTCTCCTTTCAATAATAAACTAATGCCTGCAATATATTCAACAAAGTCTATGTAGCCATCCTGTAAAATAAAAAAGGGAAAGGAGTGTAAATCTCAGATCATTTACTGAAAAAGCAAAACTTGTTTACTTCAAAGAATAATTACCAAATTCCGAATTAAATAATTAAGTATTTTATCTTTGCAAACAAGGGCTACAAGTGCAGCTAATTTCAAAGGAAGCTATATCAGATATTTAGAGACACTAAAGTCAATACTTATAACTTTTTATCCTTTAAGTTGGAACAAACTATATGATTCAGTGTATAAAATGTATTTTCTTTTTAACTCTTGTAGAAAAGAAAATGTGAGATCTTCATAATAACTGATGCATTCTACAGTATTACATACTGATAAAGACACCATTGAACTATTTGCAAAACTGGTCCCCCCTGATCTGCATTACTCTATACTTCAAGTTTCCTGGTATTCCTCATGTGTTTCTTCCACCCAGTTCATATCCTCCAATATTAAATGTTTTCATACCCCATCCATGTCAAAGGTGACGAAGACCTGGTCCACATAACTGCTGGCCTCCTCTGTCATACCGTTCATTTCGAGCATTGTCTTCAGCTCAAAGAGCGTGATGAGCCCCGAAGGAGATTCCCTCATGAACTTTGTGTACCAGTGGTGCATGTCCTCCTCCAGGATATCATCCAGGTTGGAGCCGTGGGCACCCATTTTCACTCCAGATGATTGGGACTTTTGTCCAAAAACCCGTAGAGAGCTGCTGATAAAAGTGAATCCACAGAGGAAAGTGTAGCACCTACTCTGAGCTCTGAGTAACAACAACCTCCTTAAGCTTTATGTGTCTTGAGGCAACTAAAAGGAGACATAACCCTTTAATAGGATAAGCAGAGAATCTCGCTAAAACGTCAGGGCAAAGTGTGTGCTCTTTGATTGAACTAGTTTCCATTGGCACAAAGGAACTTCCTGCAGGGGTCACTTTCAGAGAAAGCATAGAGCATAACTTTCAGAGAATGGGTTTGTTTTTGGTTCGTTAAGCCATTTGACGGCCATCTATGAATAATTCAAGTATTAAATAAAGCACCAAATACTAGGGATGAACCCATGTTGTGTCTACATATATCAGAAAATTTAGCAAAAAATGATTTGAAATTGTATCTTTAGGTACTGTGTTACTAAAAGCCTATAATAAAAATATGTTATCTATCTTGTCATTTAAAGATCTGGAAACCTTATCCACGCCTTTATTTCCTCACGTCTTGATTACTGTAACTCTCTCTATTTAGGTGTCTGTCAGTCAAGCCTGTCCCATCCCAAAGTTTGGTATTATTTATGCCAAATATGTATGCATATGAATGTACGTTTTCCTGACTCCTAATAACTTTGATTTTGGGATTTTCTCCTACAAGTCGTGAATAATCAAATCTTGTCATTTCTATGGCTTTCTGCCACCCCAGTGTTTGACGCTTATAGGCTAATTGTGCTTGCATTTCTAACAATGGCGAGCAAAAAGGAGCTGCCTTTGCCAAGACTGATATTTTTAATCATCAGTCAGCTAGACTTCTTCAAGCATAAGTTTAATAATGATGTATTTTCCATGTGAATTTAATCTCAGCATGATCTGAGTTTTTAAGAATACAGAAAAATGTTGCACACACATTATACGCGTTCTTTGAGCACTGTTGACTTGTCACTGAACTCTGTGACTGGTCTCTGATCTACCATGAAGTAAAAAACAAAACAAGGCTATCAAAGCTCAGCGTGCCTGTTCGAGTAAATCTGGCTTTGGATGATTACGGATTCTTAAAATAGCATTCAGAAGAAAAAGCTCCTTTACTACAAGCAAGACATGCAGTTGCTACCTGTTAGACATAGACAGCCAGAATGGTGCCCATGAGCTCTCACTGCTGCCAGCATATTTAGTAAAATGTTTACTTAGAGAAAAAAAATCCCCTCCGCGACTCTAAATACAGCACAGAGCAAAGTTGTCCAGTCTGGATCAATAAATTCCGTCTCAACAAAAATGTGCTAATATCTGCAATATTTGGGAATTTCAAAGAGCAAACAGGGTGGTGTGGTTTTATGTCCAGCTGTTGAAATCTTTTGGATCCCACAGATGCGCTGCTGTTTAAACTTAACCTTTTGACCACCATGTGACTGTCATGCAGGATGGCTGTTTGTGAACATGTAAAACTGTATTTCCCCCCCTAGGAAAAAGAAGAAGAAGAAATAAAACTCAGCATTTCTTTCCATATAGTGTTATTAGTAATTCGTGTAATACATAATACTTCCTTTTCTCGGGAAGTCTCTTTTGTCGTTTGAGAAAATTGCTGACGTAAAATTTGTTTTAGTGAAATGTGCAGCTGTGTAAATGATGCAATGTAAGTTTCATGGAAGCAACACCACAGTTGTTAAATCACATATCAGTATTTGCATTATTGCATCAGTTGTAAAAAGGGGTTAGCCTTTTAAAGGAATGACTGTAATATCTTTATTTGGGAAACACATTCTTGGAAATTCAACAAGTTAAAGTGAAGAGAACTGAATGTCTGGTGTGGAGCAACTATCCTTGGAAATACAAACATTTATTACAGCTGTCATCTTAGACATACAGACATAATCACTGACACAGTAGCCAAAAAATAAATTAAAAACATACAACATAAACTGTTGCCAAAACCGTTGCAATAACCTGCTCCCTGCTCTGTAAAGTATTTACAATGTGAATTCCCGTTCTCTGCAAACTGAGCCAGAGAAAGGAATCAAGAGAGAGACAAAATCCCTCAACTGTCCGGTGGAAAATACTCCCCCTAGTGTTCAACTACCAAAACAAACAGTGAAGGGGAAAAGAGGGTCCCAACTATTTGCTTGCCCAATAAAACTGTTCTCGTGCTATAGTACACAAAACAATTTGCGTATAGAGTGCACAGTTTATAAGGGATGCGCAGCCTTTATGTAATAATAAGCAAATGACTCATTTTCCTGTTCATTTCCTATTAAACTGTTGATTGAATTGTGTTTTAGGGCTTTGCAAATGAAGTCGCAAAGCCCAAAAATAACAGCACAGATAAATTCAATACTTCCATTACAAATATACACCAGTTTTCTTATGTACAAATATCACAGTGAGAGTCGAGGAACTTAAAGAACTGACATGTAAATGCAGTAAACTATGAACAGTAAAACACAGTGAAATCTTAAGTACAATATCTCAATGTATTTCTTTCAATAAAAATATGTTTTTTGTGTTTGTTTTCCATTTTTTGTGAGTTTGACTATAGGTTATATTTTAACCTTAAAAAAATATCCCGCACACAAACACACACATGACTACCATTACTTGCGGGGTGGCGCAACAATGGTCATGTAGCCTCCTGTGGTAAAGGCGTCTCATATGCAGACTCATGAGAAAACAATGACATCGACGTGACATCACGGAGGTTTAGTGGCTTATAAAAACTAAAAAGAAACCAAGAACTGGTTTTCTGGTCTCGCTGTAAACTTCTTGTCCTCAGTTTCCTAAAACCATTTTTAGGGAAGCTGGGTCAATGAACATTGGGTCCGATTCAGATTCCTGGTCATAAAGAAACTGTCTGAACACGTTGTACACCATCTCCCTGCTCAGAGTAAAATTCCTCAGCTGATCCTTCTCCTCTTCAGGCATGTGAAATGTCAGCTTGTAGTCAGCAATGACTGAACCGTTCCTGCGGGGGAGGATTAAACATTTCTGAAGTTTAACGCACAAAATTCAGTGGTTTCACCGAAATACACAGTTCATAAATTCTGAGTGTGACGCGTATTTACCTGAAAGCGCGTATCTCTGCGTTGATGAAGTATCGCCCCAGTGCAGATGAGGTTTTGAAGAGGTCAGAGAGCTGGGTGGGGCAGAACAAAGCATGCAAGAGAAAACATTAGCAGGAAATTTTTTTCCCTTTCACTCCCCTACCTACCTTTCTCTCAGCTCAATTTTAATGCTAATTGCTTTTACATTAAAATTTCAGAAGAAAATGAAAGCATAAAGCACACACACAGGTTTTTGGGGTTTTGTGTAGACCAGGGGTGGGCAACTCCAACTCGAGGGCCTGCAGGTTTTAGATGAGTCCTTGAACCAACACAGCTGATTTAAAGGGCTAAATTACCTCCTGAACATGTCCTGAAGTTCTCCAGAGGCCTGGTAACGAACTAATCATGTGATTCAGGTGTGTTGACCCAAGGTGAGATCTAAAACCTGCAGGACAATACTGCTCTTTCTTTTTGTGTGTGTGTGTGTGTGTGTGTGTGTGTGTGTGTGTCGATCCCCCCCCCCCGGGGGGATCGTTACTCCACTATGAAACAATAACAATCACTGTGTTTATCTTAAAAACATGCTGTAACCTGAACTGGAATGTTGTCATTCATCTGTTTCGTTTCTTTGGTGCATTGCAGGTGGATTGCACAGAAAACTACTGAGCTGAATACCATGAAACTTTGGCTCATTTTGCTACTATCAGTGCGCAGACATCGGCACATCTTCTATGACATTACCCTCTTTTACAACGTAGCTATTAACTATCCTTGAATTGCCTTATATAACAAGGGCACGTGGACTGCGCCATGTATACACCAGCTAAGCACCATGGTTGCAAAAGGCAATGCTACACTGTTTGCCAGTAAATCTAATATAGCCACTGTAAAAGATATTTTGTACATTCACTATAAGGACAAACGAATTGGGCCAGATCTCCTAATCTTTGAATTTAGGTGTTTTCAGTCTCATTGCCACAAGTGCAGAAAAATCCAGCACTTGAGAGTCTGCCTTTACAGATATTTGTAAAACAATGAGTTGTTCTAAAAAGCATAGTGCTGTAATAGGATGCAGTTGCAACAAGCCAGTTTGTGAAATTTATTCCCCTCCCTTAACTCTTAAAGTTTAATTTCCACATTTAACTCTAAGTGGTATTAACTACGTTAATCCATAATTTGCTTCTTAAAACAGTTTTTAGGAACCGCAACTCAGCCACAGAGGGGTAGACCACAGATACCGGTGGTAACGTTGCAGAGTAGGGTCACCGACTGCTGAGGCGCCGATGTTCTTCTGACTAAATGCAAAGTTCCAAAACCTTCCTTGACCTTTACATTAAATCAAAAGCTGCACGCCAGGATCATCACAGTATGGGTTTCCATAGCCGAGCAGGTGTCATCTGTAGATGGCCCAGTGATTTTGTCCATACAGAGTATGTAGCAAGTTCTAAATACAACCAGCTAACACGAACAGATCAAGTACATCGTTTATAAAATATAAGTTATAAGTGGTCCAACCTTTGTTCCTAGTTCTGTAGCCAGTGTTTGGCTTTTATTGGAGGAATTGGTGGCGAGTTCGTCTGTGAAGACCTGGTTTGGCATCTGGAAGCTCCCACGGAAATTCTGAATGACTGTAAACGATGAAGGGTCAAATATGTCATCCTCATCCTGATGGATCGCTGCCCAAAGAGAAATCAGTGAGTGAAAAATTCGAATAGTTAAAAATGCTGCATTGTAGCTCCCTGCAATATTCATGCTTTCACATAACATAAATTTTATTTTTTTAAATTTCATTCATTTCCATCTTAATGAATGCGCCACAACGTAGCACTAACAAGTAAAGAAACATAACCTTACCTGCACATATAGCCAGCGAAGTAAAAATCACTGCAATGATGACAATGAGGATGAATATTATGACCATCCATAATCTAATTTCCCAGAAGACTTTCTCATTCAGCTCTTTCTTTATCCCACGCTTAGTGCAGTCCTAGAAGATAATATAAATAATGAAATGGAATACACTTTACAAGGCAGCAGGTTTGTCATTAACTTAGATTTCTAGTCAGTTAATATACAGGCACTCAAACCTTTTCCCAACATGCACCAATTCAGAATACACATATTCATTTTTTCAGTCATTCACATAAAAAAACAAAAGATCAAAATTCATTTTAATTAAATTAAGATGAAAACATAAAAAACTGGGACAAATACCAAAAAAAAATGCCTCTTTATTCCAAACCACAAGAGGTAATACCCAAGAAAAAAAAAAGCACCTTTCATACCTTTCCAGATTTTTGAGACTCTACATCACATGAAGATGTCTGCACTCCATTAGTACCATTTCTCTAGCAGGACACAAAAAAGATGGCATCATCACTTTGCTCACTTCCTTCACTAAATATAGAAGTCAAGAAGGGAAAGTGAGAGGTTTCTTTTCCTTCTACGGTTGCTTTTGTCTTCTGCTCAAAAAATAGAAAGGTCATACTCAAAAATATGTAGTTCTCATTCTGTAATAGAGAATAAAATAATAGTTTAAAATAAATAGAGCACAACTTTAGAGAAAACTGCTTACTGGTTGCAGGAGACTCTCTGCTTCGGTTGGACTGGAATTCGTGTTGGCATCACCATATGTAACACATGTCCCCTACAGGGTGAAAAATTTGGGGATATTTATAAAAGATACCACAATTCTTGAGCCAGCTCCCTCTTTTTTTAATTTTACAAGGAAAATGGGACAAAGGTGCAGTGATTTATTGAAACATGAGTAAGAATACAAAGAACATGGAGTACATAAGGGAAGAACAGAGTTTTTACAAATTTGTAAAAGCTTGAAAATCAATATTTGGTATGGCCACCTTAAATCTTTGACACAACTCTCTTAGGATGCTATCTTCCCATTTCTTTAAAGGAATAGATCTCCAGGCTTCTTGAAGGATGTTCAGGACTATTCTTTGGATGTTGGCTGCTTTTGTTTAATCCTACCCTGCTTTAATAATGGTGAGGTCCATACTCCAGGGAGGCCAGTCCATGACTGACAGTATTCCATTGTGTGTGTGTTTTCTATCCAGTGTTTGGGATAACTGTCACGCTGAAAAATGAAGCCACTGCCAGACAGTTTCCAGATTGCATGGTGGATCAAAATTGGACTTTTCTGTATTCATTTCTTAAGGACGTGACTTTAAGATAATAATAATCTGCTGTAGGTAGTTTTTACGCCTGCTGTTTCTTGATTGTCCTCCACTTTCCCAGTTTCCTCAATTTAATAAGGACACCCTGCACATCATGCTGAGATATTCCATGTTTTCAGTTAACAGCTCTTTCAGAATCACCTTGTACTATTTCATGCCTGTTAAACTGTGTTATTGTTGGCATTTTTCATAGAGTGTGTTTTAGTGACAGGCTGCTAGAAGCACAAGATGCAGTTTAAAATTGTTGTTGTTTTTAAATATGTTATCTGTAGAGAAAACACTGGTTCATCCCTTGAGTTAGTTGCCTTTTCTATGCTTGAATGATTCATAGGTCAGTGTTAACCCCCCAAAAATCTCTTAAATTAGTTAGGCAGAAGGACTGGATTGAAAATGAGTGGAAAAGCAACCAATGTCCAAAGAATACTTTCAAAGACCTTCAGAAAATGTGGAGAAGTACTGCTCGAGACAGTTAAGAAATACAAGAAAATCCTGTTCCTTGGAAGCACAATATAACGAAGTGAAGTGATGACTCAATACTGTGTTGAGCTGTGAGTTTGGGTCATATTTTCCTCACATTTAAAAGCACTTGAATAGAATTACTTTTGTTTTGAAGCTACTTTTCATTGGATTTCAAAAACTGGTTTTTGATCCTTTAAGCTAAACTTTCACATCAATGAGTGAAAACAAAGTTGCTCAAGAATTGAGTCTGTATTATGACTGGAATCCTAAGCCATGTTACACCCTCAAGCACACAGGAGGAGCATGTGGGCTCCTTCATTTCATGCTGTTAATGCATTCCTGCTCTTCATACACACAGTATGAAAATACATAATTAACTCGTCCGTCTACATAAGACGTTAGTATAATTTTAGTAGTATTACAGAGTAGAGTATACAGGAAAGAAGGAGCATTTTGTTTTACTTTCTATTCGCACAGAGAGGGCTGGAGGACTTATTACAAGGTGATTCAACATACAGACAGTATTTCATAAAATATCATGACCAATAACGCTATTATTCAAAATAAGAATGCCATTAAACAGAATTTCACATATTTATACCATTTACTCACCCCATGAGCACGTGAAACCGGTGCTCCATCGAATTCTTCTTGGGATTTCAACATTTCCATCTGAATATCAACCATGGTGATCCTGGGAAAGATTCTTTCCAACCCGGAAGTGCCTATGTGCCTCAACTTTTAATGGTAATAAATACAAGCTGACCGCGGTGACATTAACGTCCCAGCTGAGGTTCTCAAAATATATTAACAGTTCCTCAATAACACCAGTCAGTGACTTCACATCGTTACTCAAGACAGCTTCTGGGAAAGCTTTTCTTCAGACGAGCCACGAAATCTTCCTTCCCTGCGTGTCCTTCTCAAGTCTGACAGGTGAGTCTTGAAGTTTCGGTGGAGCGGAAAGGCGGTGCCGACTTCGAAACTTGGGAGGAAACATTGGAAGGACTCATGACGTTATAACAGCTGGCCAGCGGCACACCAATGCGTGATTGATAAGCAGCTTCTCTGTTGAATTACGTTACAGAGTTAGATATAATGCAGATTTACCCGTAAGCACTGCTGTTTATGCTTTTCTTTGCAGCCCACGTGATTTTTTTCAGTATCCTTCAATCTGTTGGCAGCTATGCGCTCGAGTGCTTTTTATGATACGTAAGTATTTGCTTAACCAAAGCATGGCTCCACATAACGTTTATTGTTTGGTTTATCTCTTGATGACCCATATATTTACTCTGTCCTTGCAGGAGTGGTTCAGTTTATCAGTGGTTCGGATCATGTGAACTTGTGACCTTTCAGAAAGCTGTTTTTTTTGTTGTTGTTGTTTCTATTATTGTGATTTGAACTGAACAACGACTTCAAAAACGGTCGATACAAATAAACGAGATATTTACACATTGAAGGTAAGTTTTATTCCACTGCTGAAACAGGTTTAGGAATTACTGTAACCTCTTCCGGATTACCACCAGAGGCCGACATACGCATTCTTATGTACACTTGTTAGCAACTCAGTGTTGTTAGACATGGACAAGGCACATGCTGAAGATTAAGCTGAGCATGAGAATAGGGAAGAAATATGATTTAAAGTGACTTTGAACGCGGCATGGTTGTTTGTGCCAGATAAGCTGACTTTTGGGCAAAGAAAAAAATATCCAGTGAGGTGCAGGCCATATCAAGGCCACTCCACTCCTCACAACCAAAGTATTCAGAAGCACAACTTTGAACATAAACATGTCAAACCTTAAAACCGATAGGCTGCAGCAGCAGAAGGCCACACTGGATGCCCCTAATGTCAGCTAAGAACAGGAAACTTAGGCTGCGGTTCACATGGAATCACCTAAAATTGAACTGATGGCTGCATGCAGCAGAGTTACACCATGACACAAAGCTAAAATAATAAGATAAGAAGATAAGAAGATAAGAAGATGCACCTGATCTAAGTGAAAGTGTCCGGTGAGTATAAGTCACGCCTTTTGTGTCAATAAAGGAGCTTTTTTTTTTAAGACATGTCAGATGACATTCTTGGTATTTGTTAATGCTTAAAGGAGTATCCTCTGGCTTTTGTTTTCCATTTATTCTGAGCTTTGTTCAAGCTGAAAACAGAGAAAGCCAATGCAGAAAATTACATTAACTTCACGGACTAATGCTAATCGCCAAGAAGCAGTTTGTCTCATGTTAATTGGTGCAATGACACTATTAGTCAACAGTTTACACACATTAACATTACTGACATGAATTCTAAATAGAAATTGTAAGAGCGCTATATAGGGGCAATTCTGCATTTGGTCAATAGTACAGTTTCCCTTTATTAATGACAGTGTCTTAATATAAACTGACTTTTTGGCTAAAAACAACTCAAGACCCTCCTGTATTCCTTGGAAAACAGTTTTCTTTGGATGTGGTATTCACTGATACATGACGATCCAACAAAAGGAAAACAAAAAAACAAAACATAAAGGTATTTGTTATGTAAGAAAGAAGCAGTTTATTTTCTTAACATTTCTGTGCATGATTTCACAGTAGCACTGTGATTTCTATATTTTGAAGTATACAAAATAAAAAGACCAGCATAGATCAACATACATTAATAACAAAACAACTAAGTTAAAATTACATACTTTGCTTAAAGTACTTTGGTATGACGTCAAAGCATTTATATATCTGCTTACATATATATGAACTATCTAATACATTTTTGCCTCTTACCAACCCACAACGTGGTAGCTTTAAACACTTCTGTGGATGTGTCAGGTACTCCTGATATGGAAGTGCACTCTTGACATTTCGACAAAGAAACATTTGCATTAAAAAAGAAAATTATAAAACAGGAGTCTTACAGACTTGGTACGACATGATGGATGTTTCCTGTGCTTAGGGAATACAGCATCAACTGCCATACTCATTTCCATGTGCACAAACAGCTGCTTCTCATGACTCTCCAGTGTTTTGTTTTGTTTTTTAACTTATCAGCCAGTAGTAGGCGACAGAGGGACTTAAGAGCTGATATAAAGAGATAAAACCTGAATAAAATAACTCTTAAGGAGGAGTATTTCTCTAACAGTTTCTCAGAAAAGCACTGAATAACTTATTCATATATTTGGTATTTTTCATGTAAACATTCACACCCTCTCACTTCCCTCCTTCGTCTGCCTCCTGAGGTGTCTCTCCCTGCCTTTCTTCTGCCCTAATGTCACCTTCTTTCTGCTCGGCAGGCTCTGAAGCCTGCTGTTCCTCCTTCGAAGCATCAGAGCTTCGGTCTTGTTCTGCTTCATGCTCCATGTCTTCCCTGTTGTCGTGGTCGCTTTTTGTCATTTCAGCGTTTGCAGTTTCACAGTCCCCTTCCTTGTTTTCAGCTTCTTTAAGACTACATTCAGCTTCCTCTGATGGGCTGTCCAAAACCTGGTTCTTGACCCCATTTTCTTTTGGGCTGCACAGTTCACATGGGGACAGTCCACTCCCGAAGCCTTCCGCCTCCTCTCCAGCTGATCTCCTGTGCTGTCTTGTGGGCAGTCGCCTTTTAAATGACAGTCGTGCGCGGGTCTGTGTGGAAAAAATAAGCAAAAGGATTAATTTTACATCTGTAAGAGTGTGCAGGTTTTCAGCTTTAAATGATGCAAGTAACTGTTTAGGTTTAATCAGCATATGCGTGACAGCACCAAACAAATGACACCCAGGGACTCTAACTAGGCTAAGGGGATTACATCCTCAATCCACCCAGCAGGAGCACACATGAACTACAGGAGCATCTTGCTTGAGCTTATCCAAGGCTGGCCTGTTTAAACAGACGTTGCAGAACCCCCACTGAGAAGCACGTCAGTAGGGACGGGGGGGAAATGTACCTGGCTGTGGTATCACAGCTTATTCGGCAATTAGCGTGAGAAACACGGGGCTTCAATGTGACAGCAACTCATGTTGGTCATTTTGTGACGAAAGTCACACAAAATTCATCACGAAACATAAAAGAAAGTTAAAGGTGTCATGTAAGGTGCATTTTGGCCTTCTGAAAGTTCAAAGTAATAAGAGAAAAGTAGCCTAACTATACTATAAGGAGGAAGCACACAGCACCTTGTTGATGCTTGGCAATGGGGTCCCTTCAGGAGGGCTGTCGAAGCTGATGGGTTCCTCCTCTTCACTGGATTGATGCGAGGGTTGCAGGGTGGGAGTCAGAGGGCTCAGGCGGCTGCAGGGCATGGTGGGGGACAGCGGTGCCTGTGGCAGTTTCACCTCTGGAGTCTTTGGTGAAGGCAGCAGAGCAGTGGGTGACAGAGCGAGGTTGGCCTGAAGGGCAGGAGGGAAGATCCTGAAGCCAAGATACTAAAATTCTTCCATGAATTTTAAACTTCAATAACTTATAAACATACCAGAATAACAGTTTACTGAAACACAGAACTTGCTTTATAAGGAGATTAGGTGAAGCAGAAACTAAACTCTAGCATTTCTTTGAACATGTGTAAATAATATTTCCAGTCACAACGTGAGCATCGTTCTTTGAAAACTGAATTTAACTCATTACTTTACAGGCCTACCTACTTGATATCGCTCTGCGTACAGCTACAACATTCCGGTTTTAAAATGTCACTGCTATAAGTCTGTCCTTGAAAAATCAAAGTGCTACAAATAGCCGACAAATTAACCCCGCCAACTGATGTCCTACCTGCACCGGAGAGAAAAGAAAGAGGGAGAATCGGCAGCCCTTTTGTCCCATGGCTGCCCACCGTGTGAAATTGCAAACCAAAGGAACTCAAGTAGCAAGTTAAAGCCTCGCCAGAACCTCTGTAGTCCGTGATCCAATTAGCTCATTAATCTGTGCAGATTGCTGCATAAGGCACAAGCCTCTCCCCTTTTACCTCCCTGCATGCGAGCGGCTCAGGCACCAGTGAAAACAGAACAGCGGGTGGCAGTAATGCTTTAAAAAACAGACTCCTGAATACTCACTGCAATAACCCATCATTAGTGAGCTTAGCAGCTTTTCCCCCCCCTCCTTCACCAATGAACCATGTGTTGCACCAACCTGCAGTTTCTCAATGACGGCAGAGTTCTTCAGCTTGACTTTAATGGGATTTGGTGGAACAGCAGATTTCTGCCAGAGAACACAGTTAATGAAAGACAAACATACAGTGGATTCACAACTAATATTTGCTAAAAGCTAATATTTATCAAAAGTTAATATTTACTAAGAGCATTGGTTGATTGTGCTTTAAGGCGCTTTTTCTTATAAAGTAGCCCATTAAGGCATATGTCCTACCAAATGCTAAGAATTGTTTTATATATTTAAACGTATTTCAGTTTTGCTACTAACAAAATACACATTTTTATTGTTTTTATGCTTATGTAACATTTCTGTTGTGCTTTTTATTGGCCCATAACTCAATGATAGATTTGCGTAGTTTGTTTGGCATGTTGTCATTTTACTGGGAGGAAAAACAACAGGCCTTTCCCAATGATTGAGGCAGAAGAAGAAAACTAAAAACACAAATAATAAAATACCACATTTATCAACATTACACTACCCACTATGTTGAAACTGTGAGGCTGCAATGAACATGCACAGTAAACAAATCCAAGTCTGTCTTCTGGGGACTTTCAAGAAGCCAAACGTAACACGCGGGTCAATGAACGAACGCGGTGACTCACATCTAACTCGTCGTTATCATCCGTTTGATTTCGCAACTTCAGGGAACACGGAGGTCGTCTTCGAGGCTACAAATTTAAGGGAAGAGAACGAGCAATGATTCACTAACTGCTTCCTTTAAGAAAGCACATATATTTGAATAATGTTCTGCACGGACATACATGTTTATAGACTTTTGTTTTGTTATACAGGACAAATAAAATGCATTACCTCGCCATTTGAGTTGGGTATTGGAAGAATATGACCTTTGAACTTTCCGGCCAGCTCAGCCACCGACGGCTTGGATGGAGAATTCTTCTGAAAGAAAGAAAAAAGGAGAAAAAGTGAAAAATATCTGTATGAAAACTTAAATATACTGAAGAAAAAAAAAAATTTGTTTCAGTATTTCACACACAGACTTCAAAAGTTAATGACAATTCCACAATCGTGACACAAGAACAGTGAATAATATGATAATATTAAGCAATATATTTCTATATAGTGTGTATATACTATAACGTGAAAAAATCAAAACCTTAAACATAATAGTGCATCAAGACTGTCATGGAAACCAAACTGTGGAACTGAAAGGCACTTTTAATTAACACCCCCCCCCCCCCGCCCCCCTACTTGTCTAAGCTGAATGTTGTAACAAACGGGTGTAACTTGCTGAACAAACAGAGCTAAAACATGATCCATTTTAATAAACATGGCATGTGCAGAAGGCAGCAGAACACAAATCATGTTCTAAGATTTAAAAAAAAAAAAAAAAAAAAAAAAAAAAGAAGTTTTTCGCTTCCTTCTTCTTAACAAGACTCCATCAGCGTGCCGGTTTAGTCAGGTCCTTAGAGGATCTCATCTAGAAAGCACAGGAAGTGAGCCCCCCTCCTCTTTCGCTCGGTCTCTGCAGCTGTTCCACATCACGCTGCAGCCTGTGACAGGAGGGACCTGTCCTCTGCTTCAAACTGTTATCACTTCTTGGCTGCTTTACTTTCAGTCTCTCCCACTATTCCCAAGCTGATTGCTAAACATCCCTCCTCCGCACTTTGCTTTGATGGCCAGTAACTCCACTCTACTGTGGCTTAAGTAATAAGTTTGCTGACTGTGTCAGACCTAAATCTAAATTGAGAAAAACAACATCAGTACTAGTTTTTTTCCCAGGGTCTAGGTGCATGTTATACCAAGTATTGGAACCGTGCATTAGCTGAGCTATTTGTTTGCATAAGTTGGCAGTCGAAGTTATGCCAGGACTGTGCAAATTCCAGTGCATGATGCAGCCTTTTAATGGTTTGCATTATATTCAC